CTGTCGCGGGGTGCGGCTGCCCCAGCTCGGGGCCAGGATCCGGGGACCCTGAGCGGGGGCTGCTGGGCTAAGAGTCGAGAGGGGCGTCTTGGGGTGTCCCGGGGCCCCGGCTCTCTCCCTAGAAAGCAGCTCTGGTCCACAAATTGCCCCAGCCCCGGGGAACCCCCGTCAGCCTTTCCTTGCACCCCGGCAGAAGTCGAGGATCACGGGGATCGAGGGCAGCCCCAAGACAAGGCCCTCCCTGTGCACATCGGGAAATTGAGGCCTGGAGACCAAGAACCAAGGCCAGGCACGGGCCAGTGGCGGAACCGGCCTGGGAGGGACCCGGGCCCTGGGAAAGGAGGGAGAGGAGCAGCCACCGCCCCTCTCTAACCTTCTGGTGGCTGCTCCTGAGGGCAGGGATGTCGCAAGGGGGACCAAACCCACGCGTGGGCTGTGTGCAGCCCAGGGGGCTCCAGGACCCCACCCTGAAGGTCTCTGTGGCTGGAACACAGCCCCCAGGATAAGGCCCAGTCTGCTCCCCGAGGCACTGAGAAAAACATCTGTACAGAAGTTGGTCAGTACCCTGGTGCAGTGGCTCACGCCTGTCATCCCAGCACTCTGGAGGCTGAGGCAGGAGGATTTCCATGAGTTTGAGGCCAGCATGGGCTACGTAGCAAGATGCTGTCTCAAGAAAACAAAACAAAACAAGTCAGTCAATACTATATAGCATGTTTGGCAATTTGTTCCCTTAATTCTCCTTCGGGGCTGTATAGTATCCCAGTAGGCAGGTGCATCTGCCTGTGGTTTTCCGGACCCCACTAGATGAGCACATAGGTTCTCTTCCGTTTTACCTTCTGACCTCAGTGCTAAGGGGAGCAGGCCAGCCTCCTGCAGGAGGTGACACTATCGCCACTAAAGATATCCTGAGTCTCCTTTCATAGGGAAGGCAGGTTAGGGCTGGAGCTGGGTGAGGGGCCCGGCCAGCCTACCCACAGGGAAGGACGCTGAGGAGGCCAGGCAGACTTCAGGGAAGTCTGGCTCCTCCGCCCTTCCCCGGAAGATGGGCGTGTCCTTGCCAAAGGGGCGTGTCCCCCAAAGCCCCACCCCCGCTGTGGCTGCCCCACCCCCTCCTCCACCGCGGGGTGGGGGGTGGGGGTGTCTCTGAACCTGGGGTGACCCGAACCTCACTGAGCAGCAAGAGCCTAAACCACAGCATGACAGGGTTTTTCCTTCCTTTTTGTATTGCGCTGTTTTGAGACAAGGTCTCACTGTGTAGCCTAAGCTGCCTTCAGACTCGTGATCCTCCTGCTTCGGCCTCCCAAGAGCAGGATGACAGACAGGCGCCCCAGCCATTTGTCTATGTTGACTCAGGGTCTCCTAAATGGCTCCGGCAAGACTGGGCTCCCCCATCTCCCCGCCTTCGCTCTTTCCTCCCCGATGTCTCAGGACCCAGGACATTGTCACCCCATCTTTCTTCCACCAGAAGACCCCATTCATTCCCTGACCCCCATCCCCTCCTCCACAGCCTCCTGGACCCCCGGAGAGGAAGCAGCCTTGCTGCCACCTTCCCCCTGCTCTCTGGGGCGGGGCTGTTCCTTCTGTCTGGGTCCCAAGATGAAGATGGCATGAAGCAGAGTGCTGGGGTGGCCACGCTGCAGCCAACAGGAAACCTGGAGGCCAGTGATCTACTGATATCTGGGGCATGTTTGTTACGCGGCACAGCCCAGTGATTTCTGACTGATACAGCAGTCGGCACCCAGAAGGTATGGACTGCAGCTACTCAGGATGGGGCCGGAGGGAGCAGGTGACAAGCAACAGGAAGTCACTGAAGGCAGGAACCCTGGGAGCTGCATTCCACAGCCGGAGACACTGGCTGAGACTCTTAAGAACTGAGGAGCTGGTACTGTTCTGTGTGTGTGGCTCAGCTAAAGGGCTCAGGAAACAAATACAAGGAGCTGTCCTGGCTGCTGTGCGTTGCATGGACGTGGACACAGGGAGAAGACGGCCACCCGCAAGCCAAGCACAGAGTCCCGGAACAGCTTGTCCCCTCTCTGCTCTCCCTGCTGCCTGCTCTTGACCTTGGCTTTCTTTTTCCTTTGGATTTGTTGGTTGGCATTTTTTTCTTTTTTGAGACAAGGCTGTAATATGTAGTTCAGGCTCGTTTTGAACACGCTTTGTAGCCCAGGCTGGCCTCAGACTTGAACTTCTGGAGGTCTTCCTGCCTCAGCCTTCTGAGTGCTTCGCCACAATTCCCGCAGAAACTGGATCCAAGGGGCTCAAAATTGCAACCGTTTCTTCTCTCTGTCCTATGAAAGAGAAACAAGGGTACACGCCAGGCACCAGCGCGCGGAGGCCCCACCCTGTGAGCCATCAGAAGCCAAGCCTGGGCACAGACACCTCGTCCCCACCCACACCCCAGCGCCTCACCGGGGAGCCCTGGGCTCCAGCCCTGGCCCGGAGAATCTGCTCTGTCCACAACCAGCAGGCCCAGCGAATGCGGCCCCTGCCCCTCTGGCAGTGGCTTCTGCAGAGAGCAGGTGACCAGTGTGACATTTTAGCCAAGTTTCTGCCACGGCCGTGCTGGGACCACAGGACGTGATGTCAGAGTGACTCAGGTTTTCCATCCAGCTCTGTCTGGGTCCCCGAAAACGTCCTGTTGGAGAAGCCTGACGGTGAATTTCTGACTTCCGCTGGAGACTCTCTCAAATAGCAAATCCACGGCTGTCAGGAGAGAAAGTGTAGGTTCCGGGAAAAGTGAAAGCCAGACGCGCCCCGTGTGAGCCCACTTCCGAGGACGCTGCCCCAGGGGTGGGTCCTGTTGGGGCTGTGGCCTTCGTGCCCTGTGTTCGAACCTCCGCGGGGCTCACCAGGGGCCTCTGTCCTGTACCAGCCCCTCCAAGGCCCTCTCCTGCTGCCCTCCGCCCCAGCTCACCGGCCTCTCTCCCTGTGCCTCCTTCACCCAGCACAGGGGCCTGGGTGTCACTGCGCCGTTGGACCAGGGCCCAGCCCGGCCAGCTGGTCTCCAACAGCGTGTGAGACTGGAGAATCTGCCCTCCCGTTTGTGGGTCTCCCCAGGAGATCGAGGGAGGGGAAGGGAGAAGAATTAAGATGTGCGGTGCGCACCCCCGTTATCCCAGCACCGCTCTGGAGGCTGAGGCAGGAGGAGCACCTCTGGTTCCAGAGCAGCCTGGGCTCTATAGTGGGTTCACAGCTGGGAGAAGGGTCTGGCTGGAGCGAGTGGCTCGTGGGATGTGACCTGGGCACCGTGTGGTGCCCCTGGCCCTTCTGCTTTCTCCGAGTCTTGCCTGCTTCCCCCGCCATCGTGTTTCCGGGCCCATGGCCACGGCCCTGCCGACCATGGGCAGAGGAGGGGCCTCGCTTCCCTTGTGAATCAGTACTGGGATTGGACCCGCAGCCTTCACTCCGAGCTCCATCTCCCCCCCATTTTTATTTTGAGCCAGGCCCTTGCTAGGTGGCAGAGGTGCCCAGGCTGGGCTCAAATTTGCCACTCTCCTGCCTCGGCCTCCCGGAGTGTGGGGGGCCATGGACAGACAGGCACCACCCAGCTTGGCTAAGATGAAGGCAAAGGTGAGAACTGGTGGCCGCCTTCGTCTTTCATGCGCACACCTGTGTGGGACAGGGCTGTGCCGCCTGCAGCAGCAAGCATGACAGGGTCATGATCCCTGTCCCTCGGGACATCTTTGCCTGTCTCGAGCCATGCTCTGTACCCCTGGCAAGATTGTCCCTCCCGACCACTGGCTCTGAGAGACTACAGCCCCCTGTCCCAGGTCATCCCGCTAGGAAGTGGCAGAGTCGGAACTTGAACTCGGGGCTGTCTTGCTCCAGAGCCCTTTGCCACAGGGCTGCTGTGCCTCTTGCCCTGTAGGTGGGCACAAGTGTCGGTTAAGGGGATGAAAACAGTGCCCAGGGGTCCCTCAGGCAGCCGGGAAGCTCTGGACATGCGTTGTAGCGCCCAGACCTTGACGGGGGATCGGAATCATCGGAGCAGGAGGGAGTGGAGAGGCACCCTTTGTACAGTGAACAAGAGACACTGACATTGCTCGGACTGCCCAGCCCTGCCCCCGGGAGCCTTCCGGAAACGCAGTCATTCAAACTGGGGCTGGCACTGCACACCTGTCACCCCAGCACTCGAAAGGCTGAGGCAGGAGGATCACAAGTTCAACCCAATCCAGGCAATTTAATGATTTGGTGATACTGTCTCAAAATAAAACATAAAAAACAGGACTGGGGAGGTAGCTCTGTGTAAAGGCCTTGGGTTCCGTCCCCAGTACTATGCAAAAACAAAAACAAAATAAAAGAAAAATCCAAGGAATAGCTGGTCACAGTGGCACACACCTCTCATCCCAGCACCCAAGAGGCTGAGGCAGGAGGATTTCTGTCATGAGTTCAAGGCCAGCCTATGCTACCTAGTAAGACCTTGTTCTACAGACTAAAGCAAACAACAGAAAATCTGAGAAAGAAGAGAGAGCACAGAGTTTCAAACAGGGGTCCCGAGCTGGCGACAGGCTCTCCGAGAGGCACAGCACTGGAGCCTCTATGGAGCTGAGGTTATATCCAAAGTGCATTTACTGACACCTGACAAGGGGGCTGCATCACTGGGGCCAGGGACTGAGCTGTGTGAACCTTTGATTGTTATCTGGGTTACTTGGGCCTGGGCTTCGTCTCTATACACTGCCTTCTACTCCCAAAGAATTCAAAACCCCTCCTTTCATGGCCTGCAGAGGACTCGATGGATTCTTTTGGAATTAATACAACTGGCGTAAGGCTCCAGGCTGAAATCATAGCTATGGAGGGGCTGCCTGGAAGTTGGTCCCTTCAAGTAACGGGCAGTTGTCTTTGGTTTTTTTGTTTTGTTTTTTTTGTACCGGAGATCGAATTCGGGACCTTGCACTTGCCAGGCAGGCAGTGGAACCACTGAGCTAAATCCCCAGCCCTGGTTCTTGTTTTCTGAGACAGAGTCTTGTTATGTAGCCCAGGCTGGCTTTTAACTCACTGCGATCCTCCTGCCTCAGCCTCCCAAGTGCTGGGATGAGAGCACTGTGCCACCACACCATTAGAGTGGCTTCTTCTTTGTCTGTAAGCAGCCCCTGCATTGCTGCTGTCCTTAGGAAGCCCGCTGTGGGCAGGGCCAGCTGCTGGGGACCCGTCCCTGCACGTGGCATATGAAACCACCCCTGGCTCTCTGAAAGTCTGGGCTGCGCAGCAAGGAAAGCAGAAGCCCTGGGTCCTCCTCCCCACACCTGGCCAGGGTTGGGCCGGCTCCCTCCTGACTCCTGTCCCCGCCCAGCGCTGCCTCTCCTCTTGCCGGCTCCTGGGCTCTGACTCAAGGTCAAGGAACAAACAGATAAACCCTTCCCTGGAGCTGAGTTCAATTCCCAGTCAGGGCCAGGGCGCTCTGCTGCCTGGGGATGTGGAGAAGAAAATTTCTGCAGCCATAGAATGGGTAAAAATGTTCTGTAGGCAGAAAAGAGGCCGAGGAACGACCCAATCCGGGAGGCTTGGGAGGGGGCGGGAACATTCCTGTAGCTACGACAACGTTTTCTCTCTGCCGGGGACAGCCAGGTGTGGGATAGGGCACGCAGAACGGGGGACAGCGTGACATGAACTCAAGGGTAGGGCTGAGCAGGAAGCCGAGACGTAGGCTCTTCCTAGGCATTGGGTCAAGGTGAACCCGCAGCAACAGCCGTGAACTTGCTGGATGTCATCCTAGAGGGAGGAACCCGGAGCTCAGAGCAGCCAACCCTGGCCAACTCGGGAAGGGCCTTCTAGGCAACAGCAGGGATTTCAGACGCCATGCAGAGGGTCTCGGGAGCCATGGGAGGTCCAAGAGGGAGAGCAGAGCTGTTAGGCTTTTATTTCCAAAAGACAGCTCTGGCTGCTCTGTGTGTGTGGCCTGGAGGTGGGAAGGCCGGTGCTGCCATCCACGTCGCTGGCCAAGCAGGTGGCAGCAGGGCACAGAAGGCAGGTGTGCCAGAGCGGGACTGGCCACTGCCCAGCCCCTATCCCTGTGCCTGGCCCCGCCGCGGGTCTCCAGGCCTCGGTCCCTTCTGAGTGGTCCCTGGACACTTCCTGCAAATGCTCAGGTCTCCGGCCGAGATTCCAAGCCCTGGAACTGAGGTGGGGCCCCTCTGTGCTGGGCGGGCACACGGGGAGGGATGGGGCAGTGGCTGGATGGGCGGTGGGTGACAGGACAGGGATCCGAAGACCAGAGGGTGGGAAGTGGGGCACTGGAGGGAGTGAGATGGGTGGAGACTGATAAAGCAACGAAAAGAGGCCAGGCCTGGCAGCACATACGGGTCATCCCAGCAGTGGGGAGGCTGAGGCAGGAGGATCGCTTTGAGAGTTGAGGCCAGCCTGGGCTTACATAGTGAGGCTGTCTGGGATAACAAAGGAAAAGAACAGAAAGGAGACAGAGGGCTCTGTGGGGACGGGAGTTGGTGCAGGAAGAGGGAGTGGGATCCCTGCTGTAACTCCTCCCTCTGAGCCTCAGTTTCCCACTCTCCTCCCTACTTTGGGGGCTGCAACCAGGGTGAGGGGGTGCCTTCTCCGGGCTCCCCCCCAGCTCCACCTTGTGGCCCTGTGCTCCGTGTGGGGTTCACTCTTCTGATGGTCAGTGATCGGGTGTTTGGGGTTGGAGTAGGAGTCTGCGCCCTCTGCTCGCCCTCCCCCTCCCCCGTGCCCCCCCCAAGAGCGGGGCGGGACCAGGCTGGGGGCCCGG